GGGGACGGGCGTGTCAGTGCAGACAGCACCCTCACACCGCGCCACCCGAGGCTGCACCCGGAGACGGCTTCACAGCGCCGCAGTCCCCAAGGCGTGTCAGTGTTCTTAGGATCTGCTCTAACCTCTGACATCTGAAATCCAAATGAGCAAGAAAGTGTAAAACATTTCTTGTGAGCGGGGTGAGCACACCGAAGCAGCTGGAGCCGAGGCCCACCCTGGCCTGCGGCCTCACCAACGCGGCCGTCTTGGGAGAGCCCCCAGGTCGGGGAAGTCGGTCAGAAAACAAATGTCTAAAGTCTGTAAGTATCCAGACCTGTGCAGTTTCACCAGCTTTATCATCTTTTTAAATATTTATTTGGCTGCGCTGGGTCTTCCGTTTTGGGATCTTTGATCTTCATTGTGGCATGCACTCTTAGCTGTGGCGTGTGGCATCTAGTTCCTTGACTGGGGATTGAACCTGGGCCCCTTGCACTGGGCGCACAGAGTCTTAACCACTGGACCGCTGGGGAAGTCCCGTGCCAGCTTTAAGTGGGGCTTTTTACTCCAGGATAAAGCCAATAAGCAACATTTCTGTCTGGCAGGGATTGAATAAAAGTGTTGGGCTCAGACTTTGTGAATTTTGGCATCGCTTTGTCTCCTTTAGGAAATGCCATGGAAGAAAAAGACCCTTCCAAACCCAAAGACAGTTCCAACCCCCTGCTCAGTTCCTGAGGTTCAGAGGGAAGAGTGGGTGGGGGCTGTGCCGCCTGCGGGTGGGAGGCCGGCTCCGCCCTTGGCCCTCCAGCTCCTCCACCCACCGTCCCCCCAACACCAGGATGGGGGGCGAGGAGGGGAGACGGAGGACTGGCCGGTGGGGAGGGAGGAGGCACCGGGGAGGACCGGTGACAGGTCCGTAATCTGGCTCAGGCCCTCAGGGCCCTGCTGCCAGCAGTGCTCAGAGGTGGAGCCCTGTCTCCTCTGCCCTGGGTGTTCTCTTGGGTAGTTATTGTCACTGATTTTTGTAAACGAGTGAAACAGGAAATATTGTTACAACTTTCATAGCACTTCTAGTCAGTCAGGTGTTGGTTTTATATCATCTTTGTTTAATGATGGCATCTGTCAAGACTGTTCTCAGTCCTGGTGGTGGTCTCACAACACCCACACCCGTCACTCTGGGAGCAGAGGTGAGGTTTAGCTGTGGATGAGGGGTCTGAGTGCAATGGATGACTTTTCGGATGTTGGCTTTAAAAGCTCAAGTTTGGCTCCCACCGGATGAGCGTTTATAGAAGCCTGCATGTCAGACCTGTGAGTCTTGGAAGAATGTGCCTCAGGTCCACTTTCCGCTGGGCCACCAGCTGTTGGCACCTTCAAGTTTAGGCGGCACCCGATGCACCTGTTCTGCCCGCAAGCGGCCTCCCCATTTGTCCTCCACCCAGGGCGGTGTCTGGCTGGGTCATGGCTTGTACATTCCGCTCTGCCCCGTCTCTTGCTGTGCACGGCCACAGCCCCCAGGAGGAGCCCGTGCCGCTCAGCCGCTGCGTTGACCTGGGCCGGCCTGTTCTCCGACAAGCCCTGAGGGTGTAGCTGCTGGACCCCTTGCGGCACAGCTTGGGGTGGGGTGGGAGGTGGGGGCCAGGCTGACTGACCCCACCTGTGCGGGTCGGCCTCCCCCCTCGCCCAGGATGGCCTGGCCGAGCCAGGCAGCGGCAGGAGGGGGGCCTGAAGAGGGGGCCATGGGACACGGTGCTTAGGCAGCTGCTTCTGCACCACCATCCCCCACTTTTCATCAAGGGCTCATCCCGAGTGCTCTTCAATGCTGGCAAACAAACGCTCACCCAGGTTCTTGAGTGTTTTGTGCAGATTCACTAAGAACAGCTCCACAGCCCTAACAGAGCTCTTTGGCTTCCTCCTAGGCCAGTATTGCGTGGGGAAGCAGTGATCAGGGCTCCCGGGAGCCAGGCAGCGCCGTGTGTATGATCCACTGGGGGGGAGGGGTTGAGGTTAGACCATGTTTAGCACTATGAACCAGTTGTTTTTCAAAAACGTCTGCTTTGGCTGTTTTCCTCTCTTTTGGAAGGTTGGCATTTTCCAATCATATTCTTTACTGCTTGTGTCTCCCAAGGACTATGTATACAGCTATCACAAGCAAGAGAGTATTGAAGTTGTTTTTAAAACTACTTGACGCTGAACTGTGGGGCCATAAGGAGCCTGTAGATGAAAATATATATGTATGTGAGTGAGAATGATAATGATATGTAATATCAAAGCCCCTCCCACAGCTGATCAGTTGTGTCCTTTCTGCTTTCCTTCCCCCTGCACATTCCTTGGCCGACCCTGGGAAGGCCCCACTTGGTTTCTGATGAACGGAGTGAGGACGCTTGAGGCTGGCCAACCCAAGACGGAGGCTGTAAACACCCTGTGCTCTGAAACTGCTCCTCACTGAAATAAGAATAATCTTGTACCCCAGCAGCCTGATTTTGCATCTCTCCATGTGCCCAGCTTGGTCTCTGGAATTCCATTAGAGAGTAATTGAACGTTCATGACAGTTGAGTGGAAACAGGTCTGTGGGTACCGAGAAAAGAGGGTAAAGATTCAGCCCACCCACCAGTCCCCTGCCCCCTTTCCTGTATCCAACAATCCACCCCACCCACTGACACCAAAATACACGAGCCAGCTAGCTGTAGTTGGTAGATAATAACCTACTCAGCATTTGGGACAAGTTCTAGCATGTATCTTCCCCTTGGTGAGCGATCCTGACAGGAGAGGGAATTGAGCTTAATTTATATCATCTAATAATCTCAGTGCAGCACCTTGGGAAGTTAGCCTTCCAAAATTGCCCCAGACTTTTCCCCAGTGAATTACAATGCCATCTATGCTTTTTTTTCTTTTTTTTAACCAGCTCTACTCCCACAATTACCTGTTTAGTAGTTTTCACATTTCACAAACCAAAGCCAAGTGTCAAGGTGTGTCTGACAGGTGCACACATCCTGCATAAAGAAATGAGGTGTTCTGGCTGAGGATGCCCGGGTTGGGGGAGAATCCCCAGGATTATTGTGGTCGTGACAGAACACGGGCCCTCCAGCCCACCCATCGAGTTGGCGGTCGCCTGGAGTCGGCAGAGGCGGGCTGCAGCAGAGCCGTGAGGGGTGTGGTGAGACCCGAGCCTCTCGCCTCCTTCCCCATCTGCCTTTGACTAATGAGGTGTTAGACTGAGCCAGCCAGGGCTGAGTTAATTTCAGGGCTAATCCATTTCCTGCTACTTTTATTCAGCCAGCACCATCCATCAGGAGGAGAGGAGAGCCCTGGGGACCCTCTTCTGCATCACCCCAATATCTTGAAGGCAGGGAAGGGCAGCAGGGGGCCTCCCGCCCTTATTAGAGATGCCAAAGGTGTAGAAACACGTGAGGCCTTGGTGACAGAGATGTCTCCACTCACTTCCGGCTGCTGTGAGGCTGGCCGGTGCCCCCGCCCCCACCCCAGCCTGGCAGCCGCTTCTCCCTGCCCGGGTGGGCTCTGCTCCAAAAAGATGATTGTGCTTGTCAGACGAAAGATGCATATTGAGGCCATCCACGCTTCTACTGCAAAATCCTTTAGGAGAAAGACAACTGGTATCCAATATCTTCAAGTAATGAACTTATCAGTAAATATAACACACGGGCTCATTAATCTTAACTTTGCTTTTGGGCCAAGTGGGAGCTCAGCTTCTCGGGAGATGCAGTTTCATTTGTTCCTTCCCTCAAACCTCGTCCTGATTTAGACTCAAACACGCCGCCCTGCTCTCCCTGGGAAGCAGTTAATAGTGTTTTTTCGCACAACGGATTGTCCAGGCTCGGCCTGTTTGCTCAGGCCGTGATCACGTGTCTGCACGGGGTGTGATCAGGACATCAGAGCAGGGCCATGAGTGTCCTGAGGAATCTTCTCTGGGTAAAGATGATCTTAAAAGTTAAGGCTTGACACTCTTGTCCTTTGTAGCCAGTCTTTGCTTCAGCTCCCACCGCCCTGACATCACTGCCTCCGCTCCCTTTTCTCTGAAGGGAGTGGAGGATGGGGAGGGCGGCGGACCACAGGGCACTGCACTTCACGCTGTCTGCGGGGGTCCGGGCCTGAGAGAGATCTCTGAGAGGGATGCTCTTTGCCAGGGGAAGGAGTGCCGTGTGCACTGGTGGGGCCGGGAGGGCACTGCCCGCCCCAGGCGTACAGGCCCCAGGAGGAGGTTTAGGGAAGGGTTCCGATTCTCTGCAGCTCAGGCCTCTGGGACCTGGAGGTGTGACCAGATAAGGGCTGATGGGATGCGGTGGTGGGGGAGCCAGCCCAGATCTCCTGCACCTTCCCTGAAGGAAAGGGCCAGACAGACCCAGGAAACTCAGATGACTGTCCACCCCCCTGACGCAGCTCCTGCCCCCGTGTCCTCTCCTCAGCTCTTCCTTCTGCCACATCTCGGTTGCAGAGAGCCTGGCCCACAGCCCACCCACTCCCAGGAGAAGAGGCAGGCCCAGGGCAGGGGGTGGGGGGCTCACCTCCTGCCCCCCAGGTGGGGTTGGAAGTATCCGGCTCCACTGAGACACCAGTTGGACTCAACATTTCTGTTCTTTCCTCTTTAAATATACCACCTTCTCCAGCACTTGAAATCATGTGTTTTCCTGGAGGGCCCCATGCGTGTGTGAGTTTGGTTTCCCTCAGCCTTTCAGAAGCAGTGGGTGTCCTGAGGTCGGTATTGAGGCTTGCTCTGGCCGGGAGGCGCCGCGCCACCAGCTCTGCTCGCTGACACCGGCGTGGGGCTGGAGGACGGGCTGCTGGCCACACGGGTGCCTTGGGGCTCCACCCTCAGTGCAGCAGGAGCCCCTTGGACTCACATACGCGCTGGCTCTCTTGTTGGGGCAGGGGTCGTAACAGCAGGAATCCGTGCTGTGCCCACTGTCCGCTCCCTGGACCGTCCTCCCACCTGGACCTGAGCGGAAGCCGGGCTCAGGGCCCACGGGGCCACCCTAATCTCGTCTTCTCTGCTTCTCCCGCTGCTGCAGGTTACGTGTTCTGTATGTTGCATCGCCTCCCTGAGCAGCATGACTGCACGTTTGACCACATGGGCCGTGGCAGAGAGGAAGCCATCCTGAAAATGGTGAAACTGGACCGGAAAGTGGGGCGCTCTTGCCAGCGCATCGGGGAGGGGTGCTCCTGAAGGCCGGCTCGGCCACCACGTGACGCTGTTCTTAGTTCACTAATGTTAGCCTTATTTAGGACAAAGTCAGCCAGACACCTTGTACTGGGCACGCGTCAGACTACAGCCAGTCCGTTTCCTTTCCTTAGCCAGCCATCCTGGTACTGTAGTTTAGGGGTTGATGGTGGTTGAAATTGATTTCTGGCTGGTTACTAAGGTGCCTGCTAGCCATTGTATAAAATTAAAACATGAAGAATATTTTTTTTGAGCATGGCTAGTGGATTTAAAACCACACATACCTGTCACTGCTGGAGTCAAACTTAAAAAAGCCTTAAGTGGAAAGCGTTCCAGATGGAGACTCTGAGTCACTAGAGGAGAAGCTGGTGTTCAAGTCCCCACGACGCACGTGGCTTTGCCGGAAGCTCTGGTTAGCGTCTGGCCTTCACCTCTCCACTGTCCTTAGTCCCGGTAGCCAGGCCCCCTGACGGCCAGACGTGCCTGGGCCGCAGGCAGCTGCTGAGATCGGCCCGTGGCTGGGCTGGGGGTGGCCTCGCTCTCCCACTGAGCAGGAAACGGGGGTGGGGGCAGGTTCTTAAATTTTTTTACCTGAACTAATATGAAAAAACTCATCACACGAGACGAGAAACAATAACCTCACTTTGAAAATTAGCTCCACTCAAGACTAGCCCACGAACAAGAACCACCTTTTCTACACAGGCCCCCCCGGTCACAAGAAGCGACCGGGCGCCCTGACCCCACAGCTGTGGCCTGCCGTCCGCCGAGTGCCGGGGTCCGGCCCTGATCGAATCCGGCTGACTGCAGCACGGCAGCTGTGCCGACAGACTGGCCTGTGCAGCTGGGTTTTTAAAGATGTTTCTTAGCCACGGGGACTGATAGCTGTGCTGGGAGCTGCCCGCAGCCCCGTCCCGTGCACCAGGATCATCCTCACCCCTCAGGTCCGTGCGGCCCCGCGGTCCACAGGCCGCCAGCCCGCTCTGCCACGCGGAGGCTCGTTCGAGGGGGCAGCGCCCGTCGCCGGGACAGAGGTGGGTCTGTCTAGAGCGTGGTTCGTGGGCGGGCGGGGAGGGCGTGTGGCTCAGCGCGCGCCTCTCCGGAGGGCAGAGGGGCGGAGTGGAGGCGGTAGCTCAGGCCAGGTGGGGACGGCCTGTTTGGCCCCTGTTAGGAAGTCCTCACCAGTCCAGTGGGTGGGGGGTAGGAGGGAAGAGGGGCCCTTGAGAGCCTGAGCAGGGGTCTGGATGCCCCAAGCCACATCCGACCTAGGCCGTTTGGAGCTGCCCACGCACAGGCTACGGGAGAGTTGAACCCAGCAACTTAACCCTTTCCTGCCACAACAAATGGTCACTCAGCTCTGTCCACAAATAAACAGTAAATACCTGCAACTACAGATGTTTTTGGTCCAAAAAACTGAAATAAGAGATCATGCTCTTCCCCCCGCCCCCAACGCACCCCCTTCCAACCAGAGTGGAATCCGCTGCAAAATCTCCAGCCTTAATTCTTGCTTCAGGACCCAGACTGAGGTCTTGCTCTCGGGCAGCCAAGGGCTGAGAGGCCAGGCCTGCCCGCGTTTACCACTGTTGTCAAGCCACGGCCCTCTGGCCAGTACCTGGCCATCCTCAGCGATGTGGCCCGCCTCGGCGCCCCGCCAAGCTCCGATCACGAAGCGGCCACCAGGCGCCCTCCGGGTCCTGCTGCTGCTGCAGCCCCGGGCCGCGGGCTCTGGGGAGCCGGCCGCACACAGGGCTCTCGGCCCCTGGTCGCTTCCTGATGGCAGAGTGGGGGGTGGGGAGGGCTTGTTCCCCTGCAGTATCTGTTCTGTGAAGTTTGTTAAATGTAAGGAAAGCTTAAATTCTTGTATCTTTAAAAGAGAAAATCTTATTTAACCCTTTTGTGTTCTAGATTTACTTACACACATAGCCTAGAGCCCAGTTTTAGTTTTAACATTGTGAAAATATTAAAAGAATCTTGTAACTTTATTCTTTTTTCTCCTGCTGAAAAAAAAAAATTAAACCAATCGTATGACAGTCTGGATTTCTCTGTTTCGCTGGTTTTCCTAAGTGCCACCTGGATGACCAGGAAAACAGTAAAAGGTCTCCCCAGCCGGAGGGTGAACGAGGTGGAGGCTCTGGGGGCTCACTCGTCCGTCAGAGCCCAGGCTCCGCAGCTGCTGCGCCGGGTCCTGTCGGCTGGCTCTGCCTCAGGTGACCCTGGGGTGGAGGTGCGTCTGCTGGGCCTGGGCTTTGCTGGCACCAAGGGGATGTGCCTGGGGGGAGACAGGAGGAAGTGAGCACCAGCCCCGAGGGCCCCCAGGGGTGTGGGGGTGGGTGTGCCTGGGTTCTGGCACATCTGGGACCCAGACCTCCCCCAAGGACAGCCCTGGAGATGACCAGCATCTGATCGTGAGTGCTGCATCGATGATCACCTCACAGGCCTTAAGCAGGACTAGGCCGGCTCAGGGTGGAGGCTGTGACCCGCGTCTGCAGCGCCCAGGAGCCTGGGGGAGTTCTGGGAAGGCTCTGCAGAGCTGCGGTGGCCACCTGGGCCCGCACCTCTCCTGAGGGTCCCAGGGGAAGTCAGCCACGCCTTCCCGCCAGGGCGTGTGCGGGCCCACAGCGGCCGGGACAGGCATGCCCGGATGCTGCCTGCCTCCCGCCCAGAGGCAAAGACAGCACGGGGCCCTGGGGGAGGGCCCACAACCTGCAGGAACCTGCATCGTTTGTGAAGAGAGCCCACATCGCGTCTCACAGCTGTGAGCTCAGGACTTGTGAGTGCACACGTCTGTATTTGCTCACCTAGGCTGACGTGCAAAATGAAGTTTGCATTCTGCCCACAAATGAACCGTCTGTGCTTCTGAACCAAGTTACCCTTTGCAGATGCTTCAGAAAAGCGGTTCCCCACCCAAAAAGGCCCCAGAGGCCCTCAGCAACCTTCACAGACTCAGAAACCCAAGACAAAGGAGGGCCGAGTTCTCTGCTGAAGCCCCTGCCCACACGCCAGCCCAGTGGCTGAGTCTGCCTCATCTCCCGTCCGCTGCTTTCTCTGCAGGGGCTGGGGGGTGTAGCCTCAGGACCTCAGTGCTGGGAGAGCCCGACAGCAGATTCCGGGCACTTCCTCTCAGCTCTCTCTGGGAGCTGGCGCTGCCCTCCGTAGAAGGCAGCTGGGAAAGCAAGGCGCTGAGACCTGGGGAGCCCTACCCAGGCCTGAGCTGGTCAGCGCTTGGGGCTCCCTGTGGTCCCCGCCCACAGCGTCTCCTCTTTACTGTCAGGGCCCAGGCAGGTCTCGGGAACCTCCAGTAGCCACTGGGGGTAAACCAGGAAGGCAGGGCTAGAAGTGGCCATCAAGATGACCTGCTATCTGAACACGGGGCGGAAAGTGGAGGCCGCCTCCCGCCACGAATGGCACGGCAACTTTGGGCTGGCCGGTCCCGTCCTGCCCACCTGCTGCTGCTCGAGGAGGCAGCTCACCTGGCGACAGGCGGTAAGCATGTCAGCAGTGTCCCTGGGCGTCTGTGGGAACCCAAGCCCCAGGGTTCCGCTCCCACCTGCTGGGCCTTGGCTCCTCCTGGAGCTGGTTCTTGGGCGGCAGCTTCAGCTGTCCCAGCTGCAGGGGTGCCAAGGGGAGACAGTACTGGGGGCGGGCGGCGGCAGCCTCGTCCTCTCCCCTGGGCTCAGGGCTGTAAAGACGAAGGATGCAGACAGTAAACGCTTGAGACCCCAGTCTCGAGGGGGATGAGGGGAGTCTTTAGACCATGAGCCCCCTGAGTGGAATATTTGAGTCCTTTTTAAAAAAATAAGAGAGGCAGAAAGTCACTTGGGATAAGGGGGCCCCTTCCAGAGTCTGCCTTCCAGCTGTGAGAGGACAGGGTGTAGGGACACAAGGCTGGGCCCGTCTGGGTAGTCGGCTGCAGGGGAAGTGAGTGACCAGCCCAGCTCAACCAGACGAGAGGGAGAGCACCCCCACCCCTCCGCCAGGTCATTCCTTGAGCATTCTTTAGTGTTTTTAAAAAATAACTACTTTAAAAAGTGTGCTTTTCAGCAGTGCACACCTGTGCTCACCTCTGCAGTGGGGGCAGCTCCCAGCCCGCGTCGGTTCGGCAGAAAGTCCTGAGTGCAGGCCCTTGGCTCTGCTGAGGTGTGGCCCATCTCAAGGACACCAGCAGGATCAGCATGTCCTCTCCTCTCTCCCCACCCCTACGCAGGGCAGGGCTGGGGTGTAACTGGAAGCTGGCTTACCCTCCAGCAAGTCCCTCTCACCACTCATTCATTTTCTGCAAAACGCCAGGGCCTCACAATCCTGTCCAGTCACCCAGGTGTGACCAGGTCAGCTTCCGGGGGTTAGAAACAGGTGCATCCCGGCTGCCCTGTCCATCCGTCCTCAGCTCCTCCAGTGACTCCTGAGTGGACACCAGGCCCAGGATGACTTCTACTACAATAATGAAAACCACGGACTGCATTTTACATCCCTCAGGCTGCTAATGAGCACTGGACTCCCGCTGGAGCCACTGTCAGGACAAACAACGTGGAATCGATGGCTGCAGCCGCAGAAATAAACGGAGCGTGGCGTCTACCGCTGGCCACAGCCACGGCCACCACCGCCTGCCTGGCTGCCGCCCCAGCCGCACCCAGAGGAGCCGACCACCGTGTGGAAGATGGGAGTGAAACAGCACCAGGAAAAAAACACAAAAAGCAAACCACTAATGAGAAAAAACTCTTAGAAGGAGATACATTTAATTTTGTTTTCCTCCTTTGACACCTTTTCTTCTTTGTCCGAAGGGAGGTTCTTAATTGAAGCCCCAACGGGGGAACGCTCCCTTTATTACCAGCTGGCCTCCGCACACAGGATGCTCTGCTTTTTATCACAGATAAGACCTGCCTTTCCCTGTGGCTCTAGAAAGTATAAATGATTACAATTTTGTTATCTTCTAAATTAAAAAAGAGGTGAAGTTGACTGTGTCGGCACTGTCTGCACAGTGGTTTGACAATTGGGGTGACAACATAACTCCTGAGCAATTTTTGCACAATTCAGAAGCTGCTTTTTTCTTGGCCAAGGACTCTAACAAACACATCCCACTCTTGATGAAAATAACTTTTTCCCAACTTTTCTAGGGATAAAACACTTTTAATGCATTTGTCAGGAATCAACACACTTCATTTACTAAGATTTAAAAAGTGATCATTTAAAGAGCAATTGAGAAGAGCCCCACATCCATCATGGGTTCATGCTTCTAACTAAAATCAGAAGGAAAAAGCACTGAGAATATGGGAAGACAAATGTGAGTGTATGAAGTTCCGAGTGCTTGGCACCTGGCCTTGACTGGGGCACACGTGGCACGTGCCCCCCCGCCGTGCTCAGAGCCAGCCCTCCAAGGAGCTCCAGGAGGTGACTGAACACTTTTCCCCAAAGTCCCAGAGAAGTCTGCCTCTTACTCTGCACAGAGCTTTATCCAAAGTGAAGGGCAAGAGCCTCCACTCGTTCTGTCTCGTGACCTGTTACAAAGGTGGTGTTTCCAGCAAAGGGCCAGAGGCCACGAGCACCCCTCTGTCCATCTGCCCCGACCTCCTCGAGCCCCTTCCGTGCAGCTGCATCCTCGCGGGGGGCCCTCTGCCGCCGCCCCCTCCCAGCCCGGTGCCCACGGCCTCCTAGGGACTCGGCCGCCACCCTCTGCTGGGCGGAGGGGTCTGGTGGGGCTCCCTGAAGCTTGGTCTCAGCCTCTGCACTCCCTCTCAGCTCCGTTGGTTTCTCCGAGTTTGGGGGCCATTTGGCTCCCAGGGCGGGGTGGGGGGAGTCCTCTGGAGGACTGGCCCGGCCTCTAGAGATGCCAGTCCCCTGGGGACTTCCTTGTTCTTGACTGCCTCCCATTCCCCAAACCAGAAGGCTCATCAGGGAAGGCGGAGCCCTGCCTGGTAGCAGGAGGCAGACCGGCCCTGCTGAGCCTCGTCAGCACCCAGAACAGGCTTCCAGACCACCGGAGCCCCCGGGAGGCAGCTGCCGGAGAGGGGCAGCCTCGCTGTCCCTTCCGTCCCTTTATGTGATATCGAGGGCGAGTGAAGTGCTGCAGGAGCGGGGAGACAGTTCTGTTCTCCAGACAGACCTCAGGGTGGAGAGAATTCGTGGGACAAGAGCAGGGCCGAGCCACTGGCCAGCCCGGCATGCTCCGTGCCTCCTGGTCGGCAGCTGAGCGGCCAGTCCCGTGTGTGGACGGGGAGGGAGGCCACGGGGCCACGGCTGGAAGGCTCCGGACCTTCCCCCAGTCAGCGGTGCCGGCCTCCAGGCTGGGACTCCTCTCCGGACAGGTGACTCCACGAGGAAGCCCCTGCACAGGTGCTGCCTGCAAAGCATTTGAACCTTGCCGGCGTCCAAGTCCCCTGCTGCTCCTGTTCCCCGGTCGGCAGTGAACACGCCGCCGGAAGAGGTGCTGGGTGGACACGAATTCCAGGCTCTAATTGGCAACCAGGGGCTGGACGCTGAGGGAGGTGGTCACCCACCCACGGCGAGCAAGCGAGCAGCCCCATTTGTTACGGAGCCCTCCCCCCACGGTGAAAAGCTGCCCCCAAACTCAGGGGTTCCCTCCACACGGGGGGAGGCAGAGATCAGAGTCACAGGCACTGATGGGGACCCGCAGGAAGACGGCCATCTGGTTTATTCATGCAGCTTGAAGCGACCCCACTCCTCCGGACCAATAAGCCACTCACACCTACGTCACACTGGGAGGAGAGAGCTGACCCACTGGCTCTTTGCACACCCACGACCAATGTATGCTTAAGACAGAAAGAAAAGTGGCCGCCCTGCCTCAGGCAGGGAACGCGGAGGGCCTGACCGCCGCAGCCAGCCCGGGAGAGCCTGGGGAGGGGCGCTCACAGGGCGGTCAGCGCCGGGTGGACATCACTCAGACATGCGGAGCAGATCAAGCGACAGCTGTCAGATGAGATGGTTTCAATGAGGATTAAGAGGAAAGCTTAGAACTGATTTGTTCTTTCCCAATCCCTGGCTGAGTATTATGGTCTGGGGGAAAAGCAGCAGCCGC